AAACAAGACAAAAAATCTAATTAACAAAAGGATTTTTAGTAGTGAAAACTTTGACGTCTGTTGGACATCCACACACTGATGCCTGTTTGACCACCAAAATAAGGACACAAATGTATTAAAATATAAGAGTAAGATAAGTGTAAGATAAGTTTTATTTGTCTAAATGTTCACAGTTTACTCTGGATTTTTCTCTCTACAGTGCGTGCAAAGAGCTTGATATTAAAACATCACATTTAAATGTAACATTAGTGCCAAACGTCAAAAAATATTGACAGGACTTTCCTCTAATTGCTGTTTTTTGATGCCAATATTAGATGTCGATCCATTTGATGTAATTTTCATCATGACACAGACGCCTGTTTGACATTTAAATAAAAAGTATTACGAAAAGTATTAGGCAAGGCAAATTTATTTCTGTTGCACATTTTATACACAGTGGCAATTCAAAGTGCTTTACATAAACAAGAATAAAAGAGACAAGTGTAAGAAAAACAATAGAGACAAATAGTATAAAAACAGATGAAAATGTGTTAAAACAGGTTATAAAAGAATGAAAAGAAGAGCAAGACACAACAGTGTGATCTGTCGGACGCAGCACAGGGCTCATTCAGTAAAGGCTCAGTTAAACAGATGTGTGTTCAGTCTGGATGTGAATGTGTCGGTCCCACTTTATATTAAGTGTCCTTAACTACTTTGTACTTGCATCAAAAAAATAAATACAACGTACTTACTGTGTTTATAATGTATTTGAGAACACTTGTGGTGCTTTTGAATTGGCATAGAGGTTGGGTTATGGACAGGTTTGGTGGTATGGGTAGGTTTAAGGGTGGGTTAAGGTGTAAGGGATGGTCAACAGTGTATTTACAAATGTAATTACAAAAGTTAATTAAAGATGTAATTACATACATGTATTTAATCAAGCATAAGTACACAGTAAATACATGTATTTACACAATTGTAACAAACTATTAATTCCTATGTAAGTACATATTAGTTAAGGCCACTTAATAAAAAGTGGGACCAACGTGTCTAGAGTCGGAGCAAGTCGGAAGCTGATTCCAGCAGCAGGGGGCGCTGTTATAACTGAAGGCGGATTCACCCTGCTCTGACTGAACTCTAAGAATTTCTAGTTTATATGATTCTGATGATCTGAGTGATCTGTTACGCTCCATTCACACGGGGCGTCAACGATTCCCATTCACTTTGAATGGGTGACGTCAGGCGTTGCCGAACTGCATTGTGGATCCGTCGGCGCCGCTTAATGCTGCGTTCACACCAGATGCGGAATGCGCGTCAGGCGCGAGTGATTTACATGTTAAGTCAATGCAAACGCGCGAATAGACATCCTGCAGCGCGATACGCATGAATGGTGAGACGCGAATGACGCAGCTTGCGCAAATGGCGCGGGGCGAATTGAGCGTTTTGGGCGTTTGACGTGCTTAACGAACGTTTCGCGCAAATCTCTCGATTTCGAAAATCTGAACTTCAGCGTACATTCGCGCAGCATTAACCAATCAGAAGCTTGCTCTTGTGGGGGCGTGATTGTGACGTAGAACCTGTTGTCGGTGTTCCGAGGGAAATCCTCCAGCTTTCACCGACAACAGTTCATCAAACTCTGCTTGGCTCAGTCAGAAGCACCGCTGAAAGCCTCCGTCATCCAGGTTCAGTTTCTGGAGGAGTTTATGAGCTCACAGTGCTGGGTGCACCTCTGAAAGAATGTAGTGGACTCAGAAACGTATCGATGCTGTTTATCATCCTTCATAAAGCACATAAACACTGTTATTTTCTTCATAAAATCCATGTTAGCCATTTAGCTATGAAGCTAGAGTCACCAAGCAGACAGAAGCCCGCCCATCACGTCAATCCGCGTCTGTTCTGAAGTGAATTTGACATGCGAATGAAGCGGGGTTTGACGCGCGAATGAAGCGAGTAAATTCAAATGTTCACGCGGCTATTTACTTGCGAATAACGCGATTTATCCGCGCGTTCCGCGTCTGGTGTGAACACAGCATTAGAGGCGTTGCTCGCTGCAGAAGTTGGGACTAGCTCAACTTTTCAAGCGCCGGCGGAAGCATCAGCCAGTCAGAACGCTGTATGCAAATACACCAGCTTGACCAGGGGTCACCAACCTTGTTCCTGGAGAGCCACCTTCCTGCAGGTTTTAGTTGCAGCTCTGACCAAACACACCTGTTTGTAATTATCAAGTGCTGCTTTAGGTACTATTAATTGGTTCAGGTGTGTTTGATCAGGGTTGGGACTGAATTCTGCAGGAAGGTGGCTCTCCAGAAACACAGTTGTGATCCCTGAGCTAGACAGTGGCCTCTAGCTGACTGAATTTTATTGGCTGACGCTGCTATGATGATCGCTTCAGCTCCAACTTCAGACACGCCTTCAGTCAAGCGTTGATGCTAGGTTTGTATTCAGTGAGCATATCTGTAATGTATTGAGCTGCTATAGGCCATTCAGTGATGTATAGAGCAGTAATAATACTGTAAACTCT